TCCTTATTTGCTCAGACAGCAAATTTCTGCAAAAAATTCATCAAAAGTAAGGGGCAAAGCAGGGTGAGAGTGCCAAGCAATCCCTGCTGACAGCAGAATCAGAAATCTGCTCTAACACAGCTTTGTTACAACACACAGTTTTCTTCTAAGTCTTGGCCACAGACTAGCAGAACAGTTCTTCATGAGAAATAAGCACAGCAGTAGTTACCATCTCCTTGACAAATCTGAGAGCTCCATAGTTTTATTTCACCAGCTTTGTTGCACTTTGGAAAGATATTGCCTGCTCCGAGTTCCAGCCAGAGTTACAGTTCCATTACAGAAAAGTCTGGCCACATCTTTGCAGCATCACTTACAGCCTGCTTAGGATGGTTATACAGGAGAAATTTACACTTGCAGGGATACCCAAAAATCTAACAAAGTTCAGAATGCTTAAGTAATTTAACTTCTATTAATTTGTCAGTGATGTCCAGGACAAGGGGCAATGGATGCAAACTGGAGCACAGGAGGTTCCATGTGAGTATCAGGAAGAACTTCTTTCGTGGGAGCATGACAGAGCCCTGGGACAGGCTGCCCAGAGAGATTGTGGAGTCTCCTTCTCTGGAGACATTCAAACCCACCTGGACAAGTTCCTGTGTGATGTGCTCTAGGTGAACCTGCTCTGACAAGGGGGTTGGACTAGATGATCTGTCAAGGTCCCTTATTCTCTCATTTAGGTAAAAAATCATGTATCATAAGAGTCCACCTGGGACAGATCTGGCATGTAAGATTTCAAGGCAAATGGTTGAAGTTTACCAAAGTAAATAATATATTAAATTGTAATGTTTTATAATTATATTAGCTAGCTTTAAATAAGGAGTTCTACCTGCAGAGCCACTGCAGAGGCCTTCATGATGCTACCAGACTCTACTATTAAGCCGAGGAAAGAATTTCAAGAACCTGTAGCCCAGTTTATTTTTTTAAAAAAACCAACTACTTCAAGAGCCCTCATCTTCTACATTATTTTCAAAGACTATCCCAGCACTTTCTTAGTATTAAAGACATCAATATGAGTTTGAATTCAGTCAGTTTGATATATACCATCTTTCAAGCACCACTCTGATGTAGACAGAAGTCTTCTGCTTAGTAGGAAGCTAATCTAGAGTACTAAAGTCACCTCCAACAGTTAACATATATTAACACAAGTGAAAAAACTATGGAATTGTTAACAGCAACAGTGAGATACTTTCTTCAACATTGCAAATACCATACAGAGAGGTTTTACCCATCTTCAGTGCAAGACAAACATACTGTTATTCATGGAAGGAAGCCTGTTGCCAGGGGACACTAACACAGGTACTAATGTTAAGCTCTAAGTGCCACAAGTGAGGTGGGAGGATAAAATTACAGAAGCGTAATTGCAGAGCCCTTCCCATTTCAAAGGGTCTTGTGAAGTCATCTAGTCCAATCCACTGCTCAAAGGTCAGTGTCAGATTTGGACCAGGCTTCTTAAGGTTTCAGCCAGTCAGGTCTTGGAGCCTTGCCAAGAAATTTAAATTGTCCCTAACCAGCATGTTCTAATGCTCAACAGGCCTCCTAGTGCAAAATGTTAGTTCTGCCCAGTCAGAATCAGCAGTTTCTGACCTTTGTCTCGCTTGCCTGAGTAGCACAGCAAGAGAAGGGGCCTGGCTCTTGTAGTCTCCAAAAAGTCAAAAAAGATGGCTGTTAATTTCCCAAAAACCTTCTCTGGTCCAACAAGCCTACTTCGTTCATACTCTCCTCACAAGATGTGTGCTGTGACCATCTTGGTGACCCCCACTGAACTTTCTCAAATAAACTAACATCTTGTTTGCAGTAATCCACCCAAAGCTGGACACAGTCAAATGTCTTAAGTCTCACATCTATATTCCTCATCCTCTCCTGAATGTGTAATACATATTTTCTTCATAACTTAATTTTTAATTATAAAACTCAAGAAAAAACCTCAAACACTGAACTATTTTCATACCTATCAACAACAAAGAAGGCACTAAGAAAAATAATTTCATAGAATCATTAAACTATTCAGGTTGGAAAACACCCTTGGGATCACACTGTCCCTTAGACTTGTGTGTGTCTAAGTGGTGTATAGTAGGTCTCTGACCATTTCCTCTTTGATTGTGATGACGTCATTCTGCATCCCCTCCCTGTCTCCTAGCTCCTGCGGCTGTACATCCATGGAATAGCTAGTTCCACTGCTGAAGACTGAGGCAAAGTAGGTGTTGAGCACCTCAGCCTTTTCCTCCTCCTTTGTTACTAAGATTTCCTTTGCATCCAATAAAGGATGGAGCCTTTCCCTAATCCTCCTTTTGCTGTTAATTAACTTACAGAAACAGTTCTTATTATACCTAACAGCTGTAGCTAGTTTGAGCTCTAGCTGTGCTTTGGCTCTCCTTATTTTTGCCCTGCATAGGTTCGTTTTATCTTAATAGACTTCATGAGTGACCTGTCCCCTCTTCCAAAGGTCACAGACCCTCTTTTTGTTCCTAAGGTCCAGCCAAAGGTCCCTATTCAGCCAGGCTGGTCTCCTACCCCACTTACTGTCTTTTTCAGCACACAGGGACAGCCTGCTCCTCTGCCTTAAAACTTCTTTCTTTAAGTATGTCCAGCCTTCCTGGACTCCTTTATCCTTCAAGGCTGCCTCCCAAGGGACTTTGTCAATCAGTCATGAAATTTGTTTCAGTTCAAATTAGGACAACTTAAAGAATTACTTCCTCATTCTAGTAAGAATCCAAGCTAGTTAATAATGTATAGCTCTTTTCTAGGATACACTCACTGCCACAACACTAGATCTGAACAAATCTTTTGTGGCACATTGGCCATCTTTGCATACATTGGGCCTTTACCCATACAACAGCTGTTAAAGGCCAATAGCAGCGGAGGTGCTGAAGGGCACTTCAAGCACATCTGCACAAGATCAGATTGCTATGAGATGTACTCAGAAGGGATGGTGCACTGCAGATCACTTAAAATGATGCTGATATGAAAAAGCATAACTGGTGTACCATTGTGGCCATTTAAAACCTCCATCTGAATGTTCCGAATTTCACAATTCATTCTAAACTGCAGCTAACAACAGATGGATCCTGAAACCCTTTAAACCCATAGGCAGGCTGGTACTGCACCACAGCAGGGCCTACCTACATGCTTCAGATGTTGAAATGCCTTTTGAAAGAATCCAGACCACTTGAATTCCAGTTCAGCATACTTGTCTGTAGAAGCCTATCCAAACACAGCTCTACTACAAGCCAAAGACCTTTCACTCCAAGGCCAAGAAAAACAATACTCAATAAACCTGCATGGTTTTAGTCCCAACTAGGAAAAACCTTGGCAACAGAAGTTTAAAGCCTCAATTCACCCAAAGAACAGGAGATCTGGAAATAGAAGGAATATGAGATCAAACACCCTTTGTTTTGATTAAATTCTGCAAACATCTCTTTCATTTTTGTCCCTGTGGAATACTCTTTTCAATAACCCATCAGCTGTAATGGCTCTCACCTTCCCTTGCTCTTCTGGTTGAAATTATAATTATTAAATATCAAAGATAAGGAAAGCCTTGTTAATCCTAAAAACACAACACAGACGTTATCAGGGCAGAAATTAATTTGTTCAAAGAAATGATACAAGATGTTCCTGAATATCTTGACCACTAACAACTGTCAGACCACTGTATAATTCCTCTCCCAAATACCAAAAAATAGTACAAAGTTGTGTGGGCTGTAGCTATTTAAATAAATTTATTTAAATGAAACATCTGAAAGAGAGTTTGAATCTTTCACTTTACAAATTTTTGGACTCTATTTTTCCACTCACTTTACTATCAAGTAAGCACCACTTCTATTTTTTAAAAAGTCTTATCTGTAAATGTAAACAGCAATTTATCCTTTGAATGTCATCCTCTAAAATCTGGTACAAACAAGTATTGTGACAGAAGGGAATTATGAGAACACTGTTGCAGAAACAATTGATCCTCAAGCAGAAAGCTTGTTACAGTAACAGTAAGATCATAAAACTAAGCTAAAGACAACTTCCAGTTAAATGAGAACACTAGCGCAAGACAAGCACAATACACATAGCTAGTTTTCTCCTACTAGTTCATGCTCACTTTACTCAATACTGGTTAAATCACGAGTCAGAAAAATCCCTCTTTTAGTAGTTTTTTTTTCTTTTGAAGAACGATTCTAAAAAACACTTTTTAAACCAAAGACCAAGCAACTTAACAGCATGATACATTTATTACTTATTAGTGTTCAGTAACACTGTAACATTGAAGTGTTAAAAAACCTGCCACTTGTTCACTAGAAAAGAACAGATAGGACTAAAATGGAAAATATCAGCACATTTAGCCAGCAATAACAGGAACCAGTACTGTCAAGTTTTTATCTCCTTACAGCCAGAGCTGACAGTTTAAGTGTGGCCTAATACTGCTGCCAACTCTGGCATCACTATCTCCTTTACATGGGCAAAGTCATCTAATCTTAAAGCTACCAAGCAGTTTAACACTAGAAAAGCCAGCTTGTCACCACTAACTGTAGCTGAAAAATCAAATTAACTTTTACCCTCAGTCTATCCATGACTGATTTGTATGCAGGCAAGAGAGCATCACTACAGCTGACTGAAGCAGAAACACAGAACATGAGCAGCAGGGAGCCTGGGTACAACCACTAAAATTGACATAAATAGCTACAGCAACCCAGCATTTGCTAATAGCTTTCCCTTTGCATTGATAACCCCCAAATATCTAAAGTTGTTAGTAACATCTACTGCTACAACATTATAAGTAGGTCCCTCCTCTGGTATTTCTACACTAACTGTACAACACACTTCAGGGATGTGCCCAATTATTCCAAGGCTTCTCAAATATAAAAGCCTATGGGTTACTTTTTTAAAGTGCAGTTTGTATTTGACACCAGATATCAGCACATTGCACTAGTGGACAAAAACAAAGCCAGTTTCCACAGATGGAAACAGATTTCAGCCGACTGTGATGTAATTTATTTTACTAGTAGATATATGGATAATCCTGCTTACCCATGTAATTTTACTGCCAGCTATTTCAGTTTTTCAGCTGTACTCAGCAACTAGTGTAGCATTCCTTTTTTGGTACAGCCTCTTCCATTATCAGCTTCTTGCTCATTTAAAGATAAATGTTTCTCAAACACTGGGAGATGGAAGATCAAAAGATAAAGCAAAACAAGTATCAAAAAAGCCTTGCAACCTGAATAATGTATTTCTGTATCCATATAGCTATATTAAAACAATCTACTGGCTCTCTTATGGCATAATCCACAGTCTTAAAATTTAAATAGCTTTCAAGTGCACAACTATTTGAAAAATTCATTTCTGAAACAAAGCAACTGAGTTTGTTTGACCAATAACTGAAAAATCAATGACTTGCACAGACGTTGCTCCAGCACTGAGCATATTTAACCTGAATAGTAAACACCACAAAAAATAATTTTCAAATAAATACACATTAAAACCAAGTCATTCAAAGACTACTTGCATCCAGACGCTAGAAACGCTTAGCCATTAAACCCACAATACCTTTAAGACTTAAGTCTGTTCAGGTTGCCCAAGAATTGCCTGAAGCAAGTAACACTGTTTCGCACTTCATTCTTTTGTGCCTCTGAAATGCAGGAAGACAAGGGCCACAGGGGTTCCCTTACAGCAAAAGCCATTAATTAAACTCATTCAGTATGAGGCACTTTGGAGACAATGGTATTTGCTAAGCTCCCTTTCCTTAACAAGTTGGATAACAGAGATGACAAGGATTTGCCCACCCACGGACCGACCGGTGATCTTGGCACAGACAGACACAGAGCCAGACATCTGTCAATGGTGCATCTGCAGTGGAAACATGCACTTACATCCTGAAGGATCACTTGACAGCATTTGGCAGTTTGGAAAATAAAAATCCTCCCCATAACCAGGCAAACAAATATAAATACTCGATTTACTTCCTTACTTTGTTGACCATGCCTAGTTCCCCTTCCCAATACTAGTCTTTATCTTCAGGTTAGGACAGCAGCATCTTCCATTCCTGTGACATACACACACAAGCTTTTCCGAGAGCTGATCAGACACCATGGAAGTACCACAAGCAATATACAT